TGAAAGCAATTAGTGAAACTTTTGAGATTTGCGTTCCCAGTTGGGAGCACCAATATTCCAACATGTTTAGTGCTCTTTGGATGAGCTGTTTTAATGTTGAGGTAAATTTTCCCCTGACAAGTGTGACAAATATCATCTGCGTAGTATTAGGTATAGATTCATCCACTATCACATTCCATAACAGAGGCGACAGTATTCCTCCTTGCGGACACTCGCTACCACTGGTTCTACTTTTTCGTGGAACTTGGAGACTTGCACTTTTCTGCTTTTTAGCATTGATTTTATCAATTCTACAGCAGGTTTTGTCAGGCCCTCGCTGTCTCAGTATGTCACCATTGCTTCAAATGGAGTTTTACCAAATGCGCTTTCAATGTCCGAGAAGGTTCCTAACGCTATTTCTTGGTTGTTCAGTGAATCTTCTATTACTGAAACTTCTACTGACCAAAAAATGGTCCAAAAATCCTTACAACAAAATGGTTGTCCAGACTAACTTCTATACCCAAACGCTGGTCCTTGGAGGTTAGATGTCCGATTTAGAAAATTATTCTGCAACTTTAAGAACCCTGGCCGATTGTAGCACTTTGACGCAAGGCAATGATTATTTTCAAGTTCCTTGATTTACTTTAACAATCTAACACTTCAGGAGGGATACACTTGTCGTTCTTGGTCGGTCAGTTACACCCTCGTCTTTCGTCATGGCCGTTTAAAAGATAAGATTTGATATAGATTTATATACAAATTTCTATCAGACCTAGCTAACATTTATCAAATCAATCAATCAATTATAATAATTTTATCAAAATTAAAGTTGATGGATGTTGGTCTGCGAGTCGGTGAACACATGTTCAACCGGCACTTTCTCAGGAAAGATTTCCTTATTCTGAAAGTTCCTCATTGAAGATGGCGCAAAGTCGAAACGAGTTTGACTAATTTCAAAAATCCAGGAGTTAGTATGGATGTGCCGATTAATTGATCCCGTGAACAAGCCCTTCCAAAATGTTGTACATATTCTAAAGTTTTGTGCGTTCCTCACTTTCTCCTTTATACCTACTTTCTCCTCTATATAATTATTACAGAAAAATTATTTATAAATTTTATTTGTTAAGCCTATTTTTTGTGGGTGAACTCAAGCAGACCGTTTGTTATTCATTGATCTTGATTATGCATGAACGTTGATGGTGGGTGTTGGTCTGCGAGTCGATGAACACTTGAACCAGCCTGGGTCACTTATTGGGTCCATCTACCCACTAAATCTCAGTTTTGTTTGTTGTTACCCAAACGCATTCTTAGCGCCATCTTCAGTGAGAACTAAAAAATTTTCTGTTCTGAACCAAAAACACATCAAAAACCCGCGAGTTAGTGTCGACGCACCGAATAAGTGACCTAGTGGCGATTCAACATGCCTTCCAAAAATGCTGTACATATTTTGAAGTTTTCCGCGTTCCTTACTTTCTCCAATGTGGCTTACTTTCTCCTCTAAATAATTATTATAGAAGGATTATTTTTATATTTTACTTGTTAAGACTTTTTTTATGAGTGAACTCAGGCAGACGGTTTATTAGTCATTGCTACAGTATATTTTTTTTATAATAACAATAACAATAATAATCGAAGCGTTCAAGCATCAATTCTCGGTTGACCCATACATTTTAGAAATTCACAAATACCTTTATGAAATCAAAGCACTTAACAAACATGTATTCGTTTGGGTTCCTAGTTATGTCGGCATTTTTCTGGAAATAAAAAAATCTGATCAATAGGCAAGGAACGCTGCAAACCATCCACAAAAAACAGATCAATTCCCTCTCTGCCAAGATGACATAGTCGTTAAAAACACTATCAATCATCAAATTATAAATGGCCAACTGAGGAACTTGAGAGAAAAGAACTTGTGATTTTCTCTAGATTGCGAATAGGTCACATCAGGCAACAACCTTCCAACTTGTCCTCGATGTATGCGAAGTGAAGATGAAACAACTCTATTATCCTCATTCCTATTATTATAATCTATTGTTTCATTATTGTGGCTGAATAACTTTAAATTTTTTTTAACATGTTTCAAGACAGAAAAAATGTAAATCCCTGCCACTGTCATTATCTTAAGCTTTTGGAACAAAGGTAAGTGTTCCTTCGTTGTTTTTTTTTAAACAATTCTAGGGGATCTTGACAAATGCCATAAAATTATTGACCATAAAAAAGTCACATTAAGACCATCTTTAATAATTAAATATTTACAACCTCTCTTAGTTTGTACAAGATAACACAGACTTCTGAGAGTTTAGAACAAATCTAATTAATATGTTCACCAAAGCTGGAAATTGTATCTAAATAAATACCAAAGAATTTGGCACTAGATATTTGATTTATATTATTTTTATTTTGATGACTCAAGCTAAAAATTAACAATTAGTTTTTATTAACATTAAGAGACAAGAAGTTTGCAAAGAAATAATCATAAATTACGTTCAACATATCTTGAACATTAGATAGATCTATGTTGGTTAGAAACTTCAGTCATTTGCCAGTAGGACAGTATCATTATCAATTAATACATTCTTAAAAAATTAAATCATTAACATTTTAAAAAAAATATGGGTTTAATTATTGACCCTGTGACCTTGACTAGAACTTCTAAAGCCATAATGAACATTATTTACCGAAACAACTTGTCGGATTGCAAGAAAGCTTTTACAAAGCTTTAACATATTAAACAAAAAATTCTAATTTGTACAAAGTATGGAGTGATCCGCTGCGTCGAATGTCCTGCTTAGAATTTTTCTTCTAATTATCTTTTTTTGTCGACAAAGTATATTGTGGGATATCTTCATGGGGTCTGCGGTAGGATGAACTCGCAGTATGGTTCGTTTCCGATCATTTTTGTCTGCCAAACGCATTTTGGCAAGCCGCCAACTTTGTTGGCGTTTTATAAGGAACCCATATTAAAAAAAATATATAAAAGGAACGCAGCTAACAAAAATAAAACTCGAACCGGCACTAAAGATGGCGAAAAGCCGAAACGAGTCTGACAGACGAAAACAGCAAGGATAGGCGGGCCAAACTGACTGGAAACGATCAAACTCAAATCGAGTATGTATTAGTATCTTTCTCGCTTTGTTAATTTAGTATCACTTGTTCCTTTTCCAGAACCAGACTTGTCAACAATAATAACTTATTAATTATACATTGCCTGAATCTTAATGTCAGTCCTATTGACAATGAGTTTCCGTTTGGTCGATCTTATTACCAATAGGATATTAATGAAATATCAGGAAACGTAATGTCAACAATGTCTATAATTTCATAACCATAGGGTGATACCTGTCCTAAATTGCTAATTATTCCGGCCGAAGCCATTTTTCACAGCTGCGAGAGAAAATAGGAGATTATCTAACGAATAACCGTCCTGAAAACAGGTACCATCAAACGTCCTTGCCAAAAGAACCCGAAACACGTCCGAGTATATGGAAGGGTATATATTTAGTGGTAGATCGGAGAAAGTTCGCCTCCCTTGGAGTGGGGGAGAACGATTCTCCGTAGGTCTTCAGTCATAGCTCCGATATCGACAAATTCGCGTTTATTTTGTAAGTAACTCACCCCTACTATTTATTTTTAAATTTTATTATAAAAGATGAAAACGTTAACGTAATAGGCATAATTTTCAAGGTTTTTGTAATCCATCTATTACGCGATTAATTTTTTTATATCCTAAGTCAATTTTTTTTTGTTAAGAAGCCAAATATTCAATGTTGAGGAGGTTGAGGTTATGGTATGTTAGATCGGACAGAAACTCAATTCTTGTTGTTCAGATCTTTCAAATTATTATTTTTTTAAATAAAATCATCCTTAATAACTCGAGTATTTCAACATTTCAGAATATTTTTGATAATAATTATTATTAAAATACACTTTTATTTTAACAAAAAAAAAACATTTTTTAAGAAACAAAAATATTACATGCTAAGTAACAATAATAATGTTAATATGAACAGAGTAAATTAAGAAAACATATTTTCATTATTTTCTACTAGATGTCACAAATATAAGATTTCGATTTTGACTAGTAAATAAATCCTGGACTGAAAAAATGAACCAACATCGTTTTGTAGACGGATCAGAAGCTAAGTTTTATTTTCTTAAATTTGGAGAACGAGATTGAGAAATACAGCTTAGAGTTTAGCATCTCTTGTGGTCCTTGGCTGTAAATGTCACAGATACTGTCTTTATAAAAACTACGAACCCGAATAATCAAAGCCGATCGGTTGATTTATTATAATTTGATCAACAATAGAAAAAATTAGAAACCTAATGTTAAATAATTTAATGATTTATTTCCTGTTAACCTACGATATATTACATCAATATTTCTGAAGATAAATTTAGGTGCAAAATGTGCGATCTTAGGAGGAAAAAGATAAAAGTAAGGATAAAACTCACCGTTGGTTTTGAAGATTGAATTTTAGGCTACAATTGTCAATAAGTCGCAGAAAATTAAGTAATAATAATTATGAGTAAAAATTTAATAATACTTTATGAATTAATCCATATTAGTTTCTTGGACATAATTGATTATTGAAATGAATTGATATTGAATAAATTAATTATTCTTTTTTCTATGTTTTTTAGTTGAAATGAAAAATTAAGTATTCGAGTCCCGCTCGTGACACTAATTTTTCATCTCAACCAAAAACCTTAGATAAAAAAGTAATTAATTATTATTATGACTTAAAATCGCTCTGTGTAAAAACCGTAATAACTGGAAAAGTTTACTTCAGTTAAAAACAAAGTTCTGCTTTTCTTTAAGTTCGACTGGGACTTACAAACGATCGGAATTTCGAAGGGTCACCTTAACCTGAATAAGCCAGAGATGTCTTGCTTTTGTCATCTCTCTCTCTCTCTCTCTCTCTCTCTCTCTCTCTCTCTCACTCTCTCTCTCTCACTCACTCTTTCTGAACGCTGAATATTTAATTTCACGTATTTCGCTTATCCGCCGAGTCCTCTACAGCACATTTCTCATTAGAAGTATTTACATATCAGCATTCAGCCAACAACTTGGTTACGTACACGCTGCACATTCTTCTACAAAGTCCAGACGCTTTCTCTTTGTCAGCAGTCAAGAAATCGTCGCACTTCGAAACTAGATTTATTTGGACCCAAAACAAGGTTGGTATTTCATATAAAATAATACAAATGAGACACTACTGAAAACAGGTGCTACAGGTTTAACCTTCAGTCTTTCCTAAAGGTGTTATCATTTACATAAAACCAGAAAATCAAGATATTTTGAAGTTTTATCTAACAAATAATGAAGTTACTATAAAAACATGTAAGCTTAATTAAGCATCACATATGTTGTTACTAAATTTTGTGTTCGTAAGGTATTCAAAATTAATTTACTTTTCATCAATGCTGAATTCTTTGCGTTATTTTTATTGACAATCTAAAGAATTTCTTTTTTGAGTTGCATTTTTTTTACTGTCCGTTCGAGGACGTGTTTCGAAATCAATTCGATATTCCAAAACCTACCCGTTTCGTTCGAACTGGACACAGGACCGTGTCGTGACTGGATAAAATAATTTCACGAAATTAACTCGCTCGTGCGATTTTTAAAACGAAGGAAAATTAAATCGACAAATTTTTGAAAATATACTGAATTAATATATAGGAACATATAAGTAATAATTTTGGGTATTCACGCGAACAGTGCTAATCGGGTTAAGTGTGTTACAGTCAAGGGGTTTTGAGTATTAAATATTTCGGAACTGATAATGCTAGGTTCTGATAGCATTGTGCCAGTCATGTCGTAAACATTTACTACACGTTCTTATAATGTAAGTTTTCACAAAATAATTAAAAGGGAAGAAACAATCTAGATTTAGAAAATCATTTCAAAAAGCAGGATAAAAGTCAATTCATCCAACGATTTCCATCGAGAAATTTTAAAGCGGATAATATAGGAATTTACAAAATATGTTTATTTTCAGCACTTTATTTTATTTATTTAATGTGAGTGTTCACGCAATTCTTTTTACGTGTGTTAATGTCGAGAAGGTTTGTAATGCACTGTCTAGGATCTGCTAACTGTTTTGTCGTATCAGGAAAAAAGCAGGATATATAAAATTTACTTTCAACAAACGATTTCTAACAAATTAGCAAAGCTATTTAAACACATAATTAAGGTAACGTGTGCCATGTTAGGTGTTTTAAAGTAAGACACTACCCTAGCACAGTTTCGGGTCTGTTTATAGTACTAATCGCTGTTTCATAAGAAAAGGTTTTAAACAAACAATCCAAAATCTTGTGGATACATATACAAACCAACCAACTACATATACAATATACAAACCAAACCAAAAAGGAAGAAACAAGTTAGAAGAATTAAAACTGTATGACTTAAACAAGAAAAGTCATTGTGATAAAGAAAAGATTAAAAAATAATCAAAGCTAGATAAAATTGAATTTCATCAAACCATTTTCAACAAGGCTCTTTTAAAAACACAACTATAGTAAAGAGCAATGTAAGGTGTTTTAAAGTCGAACGTTTAATACGTAAGTGTGCATTTTTGGAACAAATAGCACACTCAAAACCGGTCTAGGGTCTACTAACGGCTGTGTTGTATCAGAAAAAGTTTTAAAAAAATAAGACAGAATTTTCTAGTAAAAGAAACGAACAAAAATGAAAAAGGAAGAAACAAGTTAGAAGGAAGAAGATTGAAGTTGCATGGTGTAAAGTAGAAACAACTGTTTAAGAAATCAATGTTAGATAAAATTAAATTTCATCGACTATGAACGACAAGACTATTTTAAACGCATCCTCGGGTAAAGAGGGCAAGGTTAGGCGTGTTAAAATCGGGAAGATTTTTTCGAACGTACAGCATACTAAATACCAACATAATCTAGGTTTTGCTAATTGCTGTGTCAGGGTGCTATATTTTACACTTTGAGGTTTATTATCATCCATTAGTTGCTAATATTGAATTTTTTACTCAAAGAATTAAAATGGGAGAAACAAGGAAAAACTTTCAAAAATGCACGTACTAAAGCTACTTTGCAGAAAAATTACAGTGTGAAATTTTACGATAAGATAATGAAGTTGGATATTCACGAAAACTGTACTAATCGCGTTAAGCCTGTCAAAGTCTAGAATTTTTGTATTTTGGAATGATAGTTAAATTGCACTTGTTAGTTAACTATCAACTTAAATAATAATATCCTAGATGTAAAAGAAGCCTTCTGTCTACTATTTTTGCAGTTGATTGAATATCGGCTCTTCATTGCTAGCGTGATCCCTTTTATCTTTGCCTTTTATTTTTTTCGATTTCATGAATTGATTAGCACGAAGTTTGATTTTTCTGCGTTAAGTAATCTACATTAATAACGTAGTGCACCTTCCTTAGTTTTTCTTGGACAGTTCTAAACTTCCGTTTAGGTTGAGAAAAAAAATTATAAGGACTCTAATTGTTGACATTAACATAGTCTAGAATCGACTTGTGCCAGAGTATTTTCTTTAGCTTTTTAGGTAGGAAATTTCGAATTGTATTCATGTGCTTTAAATCATGCAACTATAATCTTCCTCTTTCTAATTTATTTCTTACTTGCTGATTTTGCTCGGTACTTTAGCCAAATCCAGTCATGTTTTAAACTTTTCTTGATACACAGCCGTTAGCAATCCCTACATTGTGCTGGTTTTGAGTTTGCTGTAAGTTCCAAAAAACTTCTTGACTTTAACACACCTATCATTGGCCTCTTTACCCAATTATGCGTTTAAAAAAGTCTTGTTAGAAATTGTTTGATGAAATTCAATTTTATCTAGCTTTGATTACTTTTTATCCTTTCTTTCGCATACTGATTTGTTTCTTTTTAGGTCGTGCAACTGTAATCTTCTTCCTTTTAACTTATTTCTAACTTTCTCGTATTTCCAAGTTTCTTTTATCACAAAATTCTGTCTCGTTTATTTAAAACTTTTCCTGATACGACCTAGCAGTTAGCAAACCCTAGACTGTGCTGTTAGATTGAGAAAGGAATAAAAAAGTGGTCAGAGCAGAATAAAATTCAGTCCTAAATATCCACCAAATCACTGCTAAAAAGAAATCTACTAACTTATATAAATAGTACTACTAACTAAGTACTAGTCACAAAATTTAACAAATACATCGATCTTTATTGAGATCATCTTCAGGTTCGAGTAGAAATTTAATTTAATTTAAAACTTTTAATTAAAAATTTAAAACTTTCATTGAATATAAAAAATATTTTTTTTGCATTGTATAAATTCACTTTTTTTCACATCCTACATGTATTTGTTAAATTTAAACAATGTTTGTAAATCCAAGGCCCTGAAAATGATGTCAATAAAGGTCGAAACGTTGGCACGATAGAGAAAATGTTTTTCCGAATCCTACATACATCACACCAGACCGCATCTCACGATTTCCGAATAATTAAGATAAAATGACACTTTCTTCGTATAAATTCATACTATTTATCTTTAATCGTAATGGACGTGTTGCAACTATAGAAATGTTTTTTCGAATTTCACCTCTTTAGCATTCAGATCGATTCGGCTGGTTATATGTATGTAAGAAGAGTAAGTTTCCACTTTCGTTTCGAACAAGAGGGCAAGCATATTTCCTATTTCAATTTATTAATGAGTTTAATTTTCCTAATAGATGGGTAAATGTTAAGAAGTACAGTGTTCTTATTATTGGACGATAGGTTTCATTTATCGTTGTTGGGTTTTTTGTCCACGCAAAACATAGAAAACAACTATCTGGTTTATGATGAAAAATCAAAACTGTCAGTTCAAAAGTTTTATTTCGAAGTAATCGTAAACAATCTACTTTTCGACGTTAATTTCATTCTACCTTGATTTCAATTCACTCAGAACTGTAATAAATGTAAGAATTGATTTACAAAATCTTGTGAAATATTGAAGTTTAGGTGTGTCAACAGTCAGACCGACCACAGAATATGGCGAAATTCAGAAAAACCGTCACAAAGACCAAATCCAGCGAGGACAAGACCAAGACGATAATCGATCAAGCACAAAAAAGTACATTTCTGAATCGTTTTATTACTGAAAACAACCTTTTTTGTTTTTAATTTCGTCAAATGCATTCCAGAAGAATTCGAAAGGGAGCACATCAATTTAAATAAGATCGAAAACCAGTATTTTTCTATTGGATAATGGGATTCGGTAGCTCCTAAGTGGATTAGAAAACCAGTCTGGTTCAGGAATCGCCTAAAGGGTTTTTATCAGGGAAAGTGTTTCACCAAATCGTTAAGTAAATTTATTGATTCTTACACGGAGAGAAATTTATTTCATTATTTTATAGAAACGATTTCGCATTTTTAAAAAAAATTAAATACAGATGTACAGTTGTTTACATCTTTATTTAACAATTTTTTAAAACTCTTTTTTACTATTTATTCTCCTCGGTGAATTTAACCTAAAATTAACCTATACCCTTCATTTAATAGCCTAAATATAAAATTTTGTGACAATCAGAAAGCACGATGTAAATTGGTGCAAGGTTCTAAAACTGATAAAATATCTGTTCTTTAAAATGAAGTAACACAGAGCTTTGTTAAAAGATATTCTGAAGATGGCGTCAAATGATATTAGATTGTGTGTCCATATTTGTAAGCCTGATGGAGTATTATTAATTGCCTTTATTTAGTTTGTATGAGAGTTATTTTCATACAATAGAGGTTTTTGGAATAGAGTCTATATAAATTTGTGTAACTAAAAAATCGTGGATGACAGGTTCCTTAAGAAAAATATACAGATTATCCTTGGCAAGGATTTCATGATGTCTAGATATGTGTGCTATTGATTATATAGCTTATAAACAGATCAATATTCTACAGGAAATCAGAGCAGACACGACGTGTATTAGTGTAAGATACTAAAAATGATTAAGGACTTTCTCCTTATTCATAAATGATTAGATTATTCAAAAATATTCTGAAGGTGGCATCAAGTGACAATTAGCTTCATTTCAATTCAGGTCAGATCTTCTTCGATTTTATCCAAATTTGTATGCAATCACATAAGCCTGATGGAGTATTATTAATTGCCTTTATTTAGTTTGTATGACAGTTATTTTCATACAACAGAAGAAATAGGAATAAAGTATATAAATTTGTGTAACAAAAAAATC